AGGCGTGCCCCAGGGTGTCACAGGGCCGGCCACATCAGGCTTCGGTCAGCGAACAACCGGGCTTTGCAAGCAGTCTTGAAGAAGAGCAGCTGCAACAAAGATGCATTATATTCTTCTTTAGTCAAAAGCAGCAGGAGTGATCTCAGTGGATCAGCGGTCTGCACGTAGTTCAAACTGCTGGGCCATGCTGGGAGAGCAGATGGGGGAGAGACAGCCAGAATCTCATCGTACATCATAATAGGATCATTCCCATGATCCAGAATGGTTGTTGTAAACGTAGAGACATGCAGATGCTTAAACGTACAGTTAGGCAAGAAAAGGGGTTTTTTTAAGTTCATCTGGGCAGTTCTTTGCTGGATCAATGGGAGAAGCACCAGCGTGCTTCTGAAAGCCTAGCCATATGTTTATCCTCAGTGTCTTTATTTAAACGACCCTGAGAGCACCATTCCCTTAACACATGCACCAGCCAGTCAAAGAAAATCATTTATTTGAGTCTCATTTTATGTTTATGTGCTTGTGCCATTTTCTGAGTTTTGTTTTAGGTTTTGTTTGTTTTTGTTTGTATGCTTGTTTTAAATGCCTTCTTATCCCATCTGGATTTTAATTGCCCCTTGAGTCTGTGTCTAAAAATTTCCATAAAATTTTCTCTAGCATAACTGGGACCTTGGATACCTTTCAGTTTATATGGTTGTATTTCAGAGGTCCTGGCTCTGGGCATAATTAGATCTGCACCAAAAGCAGTTTTCAGGTTTAAAATCAATTTTGCCTTCTAGGAAAGAGTCTGAATCATAGATTGTGCTGTTTCTCACGTTCTAGCTGTCTTATCTGGATAGGTGGGGTAAGGTAAATGATGCTCCAATTAAGTAAATGGATCTCTCTTATTACTAGCCTTTGTAATTATTTCTGTGTATAACAGCTCTAATGGTTTTATTAAGCTGTTATGCTTTAATGTTCATTCTGATTGATGATTGAGTTACGAAATAGTGACATTGCTGCTGTACTAGAGAATGAGTGCTTAGATTGTCATGCTGTAGTTCATAGGAGAAGCATTTTCTCAACAGAGGGCTTCTGTAACTAGGTGTTTGTTGCTACTAATACAGGCTGGGTTTTCCACAGTAATTTTAGAAAGTGATGGTGCTCCTGTGGTTAGACATATCTGACTCTCCTATTTAGAATATGACTTTTTATTTTACTGGTGAGAGAAGATGCTTATTGCCAGCACAAAGAAGTTGAAATATGTTCCAGAAATGCTAAGGACAGTAATGGAGGAAGGAATCCATCACTGAAATCCACACATCCTAGCTATGCTAATGGAGGACTGATTACTAGAATATTTATGCAGAATGCCTGTACCCTACGGACAGCATGTAAAACCATGGCATGTTGGTCTTCTTCCAAACTAAAGTAGGTTCCAAAGCATTATTAATCTCAGTGGGAAGATACTGTAATTTTAATACCTTAATAACGTTACTGAGAAAGAACCAACCACACTGGAGCAGTAACCATACTGTCCTCAGACTCAGAACCCTTATAGCACCAGGAAAAAAAATCAGTACTATTCTGCTGTTCTCTTTTCAGAAAAGAGAAGTAACAAATAAAAAATATATGTATAAAAAAAAGAAAATATTCCAATAAAAGGGGACTAAATGGAACATCTGAACCATTTAAGTTTTCAAGGGTAACATGGAGTCTCTATAAATTCTCTGGTCTGTGAAGAAATGCACCAGAACTGAGAATTTATGAAAGGAAGACCATACAGTTAAAAGCATCATAAGGAACATTACAACATGAGCAATTCTATGATTCCATGAGTCTATGAAGAAGGCTTCTTTTAACAAGCAGAAGTTGTATCCAAAGTCAGAAAAGAATGTAAACTCTAATGATTTAAATCCAAAAATGTGACAAAGAAGTTAGAAAAGGAGGCTCAGAAAAGACAGAAAAAAATAATAAATTTGTCTCTCTGAACAAATTAAGAGTCAGGAAGCCTGCTGGAAAGTTTGACTGGTCTGTAAAACCAGTAGGCTCTTAGGATGCAGAAGGATCATCTGGAGAAGATACAACCACAGAAGAAATTACTGATTAGTGGATGGCATGGATGAGCTTTGGCCAGTTCCAATACTGGGAAACTTCTTTAAAGGGAGCAATTGGGAATTCATGTCTCAAGGTGAAGTGGAAGTAGAAAAGAGCTCAGGTACTGACTTCTCTGCCTTCTCATTTACAAGTACCTTGGCATCAGTAGGGACTGGAACATTGCTCATAGAGCACCAACTTTTTAAAGGATTTTGGAGAAGATTTTGGAAACCGCAGTCTGGAAACCTGATACACTTAATAGACAAATAAGTAGAAGTAAAGCTGGAGAGCAGAAGAGATTTAGTGAGCACGTGGAGAAGACACACTAGAGGGAGTCAGTATTGCTTTAGTAAAGAAAATGAGTGTCTCACAGATCTATCAACCTTCTTTGAAAAAGTCAAGTTCAGCACTCAGCAGTGATCAAAATGTAAACCTAGAACTGTTACAATTGGAAAAATTATTCTGAGAGAAGGAAAACACCAGAAAGAAAGAAAGATCTTATACAATGCCATTGTATAAATCCTTGATGCATCTGGAATTCATTGTGCAGCTACAGTATCCTTAGCATAGAAATAATATGGTAGAACTGGAAAAGACTCAAAATATTTAAGAGAATTAACAAAATGAACAGAAGTAATAGGAGGGCTTCCAGATGGGCACAGCTAACTCAAATGGGTCACTCCAGCCTGCAGTAGATGGCAAGCGGTATCACAGTCTGTAAAATCTTTGGTGGACCAAACAAGGAGCAGGAAACAAGACTGTTCACTGGCTTATCAGATATGGAATCCAAGGAACATCAAATAAAAGTAGGGCTTGGAAATCTCAGAATAAACAAAATGAGGTAATCCTTCATACAGCTTGTAGTTGCTTCAGGTATTGTGGATACCAAAACTTTACATAGGTTTAAGAAGCGACTGAAAAATCATCAAAGCCTCTTGCTGTAGTTCATCAAGTTCCTGGGAATGTATTTTGGGGAAATACAGAACGTGTTTGGCCTGTTCTTACGTTCCTTCTGCTCCCGTATTATCAGCTGCTGTCAAAACCTGATGGGTTGGATGGAGCTTTGAGCTGACCCTCTATTGGTTTTGATGTTTTAATAATTATTTTAACATAGTCAACCTCATAATTTTACTTCCCAACCCTAGAACAGCCAGCTTTTATAATCTCCTTAAAGCATTTCAGCTCATTAAATAATTCCATAGGGTTTCTGTGCCTCGTTTTTGTCTTTGCCTTGATTCCTTCACTATTTCCTGTACTTCATTATTATGTTTAAGCACGAATGTGTTTTCAGCACTGCCCAGTAATCTGAAAAAACATCTCATTAAAAATTATTAATGCGTTCTTCCCAGAAGCATTAAAAACAAATTAATGCCCGTAGCTGCACTGCTGTTCTCGCTTTCAGGGGAAGGCAGGTTGTGGGTGCAATCCTAAACAGAGCCAAGATGGAAGGGATGGTGTTATATGTGGTGTGCCACCCTAGGGAAAGGAAACAGCATTCCATTGTGGATAAGTGAGTTGTCAAAATGGATGGATACGAAGCAGCTTCTTATTCTCCAAACACTTAAACTGTTATTGTGAACTGAGGGGAAACAGGACAGAAATATTCACACTTCCCATTTGGACTGGTGCAGATGGGCTTAGGATTACTGGAGTAAAGAAGTGTGAAAGCTGTAACTTATGATAACAGACCAGATACAATCAGTATCCTTTTGCATGCCTTTTGCCTAGAAGAAGCTATTTTCATCCATTTCATATCAGTGTAAGCCTATTAATAATTGTACAAAGCTTTAACAGCAGAGACTGTAATGTATGTATTAATAATGCATTTCCAGAGAAAATATATTAATGCTTTTCTAAATGTTCAATTAAGTTATTACCTAATGCCACAAAATGTTAGTAATAGAAAGCAAGTTCAACCTTACATCATTTTGTGACATTGCAGATGTCTAGGAAAATTTTTGAAAAGCGCATGGAGGAAAGAAGTCTGAGAGGAGAAGAGCACTCATCCTGCTGTGGCAGACAGCCCTGTGAGGCTGTAACAAGCGGAACCCCGAGGCTCTTGGCCACAAGACTGCAGACTGCCACTGCAGGGCATTCTGAATACCATCACACCAGCCTGAGCCAGGAGATAGACTTTTCTGGCTTCCTCCTTCCCCCTTTTTTCTCCCCTGCCCAAGACCTTCATGGAAACCTCCATCAGGATGGCACATTAAAATGGAACTATAATCAAAAAATTGAAAACACCAAGCAAAAGGAGCAAGTGTGTAGATTTGTTTTGTAAATTTTCCTTTGAATTTATGTAAATGCTACCTTTTTAACCTTTCTTATTCTGTAACATTGCTAATTCCTATCCTTTAGCAAATATATTTAAAACCCAATAAAGATCACTGATTACATTTTTCTTTCTTTCTTTTTTTTTTTTTTTCCTGAATTTTGCTTAGGCAAAGTAATAGTTTCCTTAAGAATAAACAATATCATTTGCTGGTTTAAATTCCAACATTGTGGTTTTGTTTAGCCTATTTACTCACCATATCTGCTGCAACCTTTGGCATTTTTCTGAGGGAACCTAATAAAGCATTTCATTGGAAATATATATTTGCCACAGACCTCACAACTTTTGTTATCAGTTAAGCAAACATTCCCTTTTGTAGATAAACTATTCTGCAGATAAACTTAACTGACATATGTTAGGAACATGGGGCAATTGAAGTTAGAAGGAACCTCAGGAGACCTGTTCTCCAATCTTCTGCTCATAGCAGGGCCAGCTCTGAGGTCAGAACAGGTTGCTCGAGATGTTGTCCTATCAAGGCTTACAGATGTCAAAGGAAGGAATTTTCACAACATCCCTGGGCAACCTGCTTCGCTGTTTGGCTGTTGTCATGGTGAAAAAGTGTTCTTTTTATCTAAGCAGAACCTTTCATGTTTCAACTGACCACTGTTGTCTCATCATCCCTCCACTGTGCCCACCCCCCTCCCTTTTGAAAAGCCTAGCTCCATCTTCTCCATGATCTCCTCAACAGATACAAACAGCTGCCATCAGATCTCAAGCTGGTTTCTCCTCTAGGCCAGACAAAACCACCTTTCTCAATATCTCCTCATGGAGCCCAGCCCCTAGACAGGATGGTGACCCTCCAGAGGTCTGTTCAGTGCTAAGTAGATGGCTTTAATTGATCTGTTAGTACAGTCCAAGAGGCTTTTTTGGCCTCATTTGCTTCCTGAGCACTTTGCTGACAGGGCTGCCTACTGTCTACCAAGATCCAAAGTTCTCAGGATAGCTGCTCCCCACCCTGTCATTCCCCAACCCTTACCCAGGGGTGCTTCCCTCCCCATTGCAGGACTTTGCACACGTTCTTGTCAAAATTCACAAAGGTTTGGTTCAATTTTTTCCAACTTCGTAGATCTTTTCGGCTGCCCTGCCCTACCCTGTCCTCAAACATATGCGCTGCTCCTCCCAACCTGGCATCTCCTGCAGGATCAGTGAGCAGGCACTCCATCACCTCCTCCAGGTCATGGATAGCAATGGACAACATGGATAACGTTAAACAGAATGAGTCCCAGGATAGACCCCTGCAGTACCCCACTTGATAGCATATCCCATTAACCAGGGATTCTTAGCCTGATCATCCAATCAAGCTCTTAAGCATCTCATTGCCCACCCATCCAGACTATAACATTTGTAATTTGGATACAATAATATTGTTAGAGATGATGCTGAAAGCAAGTTGAAGTCAAAGAGAATGGGATGTGATGCTCTCCTCATGCCCACAAATCCAGTCATCATCTTATCACAGAATTGATGCAGGTTGATCAGGCACAATATTCTGATGGTAAATCCAGACCTCTTGCCAGTCTGCTCCAGGGGGACATGCTCCATGATTTTCCCAGGATCTGAAGTGAGATTGACCCATTTGTTCCCCAGGTTGATATTTTAGAAAGGAGATTTGACATGTGTCTTTTTCCACTTGCCATGGTCTTCCACCAATCTCCATGACCTTCTGAAGACAACAGTGGCCTTGACAGGACATCAGGAAGTTCTCAGCACTGTGCATGCACTTTGTCAGGTCCCATTGACTTGTACAAGTCAAATACAACCTATCTCCAACTTGGCCTTCATCCATTGCTGGGTAAGTTACACTGTGTGCACGTTTAAATGAGACACATCAGTATTTTACAGATAACTCACAGCAAGGCAACGTTCGTTTCTGCACATGCTTGGCACATAAAATACAGCCAACTTTGGCTTCAAACTTAGCAAAGGAAAACTAAAATCTTTCTTGATTCAGCCTGCTGTAATCCGATGCTAAATCACCAAGCTGCTGAGAAAGTCACCTCTGTAATCTTTACAGCACCTTTGTTTGAGGTAAACCGGATATGCAGTGGGTGAAAAAGGGGAGGGGAAGAAAAACCCCACAATTACAAGGAAAAAGTCAATGAGGCTGTGACTGAAAGAAACCTACTGCCCTTCACTCTGCAGCTTCCGAGAACACCTTCCTGGTACCTGGGCTGTGTTCAAGACAAGCCAGAGAGCTGCAGTTAAAAAAAATGTACATAGTGTGAGCAGCAGAACAGAAAGTATAGCAGCTAAGGCTGAGCTGAGATGAAATACAGAACTGCACTGAGGCTGCCTGGTGCAAGATGTAAGTCAGGCTGATATACTGGCAGATGTGTTATAGAATAGATAAGTGCTTGTTAGTCCATGCAGCTCTGCACAGGCCTGAAAGGCTTTCTCTTCAGTTTGGTAATATCTGGGCAACTGACTGGGCATGCATGCTGTTGATTGCTTTATGGTATGTTTTATCAGAAGTGTCCTTCCCTAATACAAAATATTAAGTTATCATAACAGGGCAGCAGTGCTACAGCTGCTGATCTCCAGCCACATCTGCAGGCACATCCCAAAGCCCTGCCCTGGCATCAAAGTCTAAGGCCTTGCTTTGGGAGGAGAAGGATTTTTATTTATGGGCAACTGCTGACCTCCAGACAACCAAACACACCCAAACATTTCTGTCTGTATTGCACTGTTCTATATTTTCTCTCTGATTTTCTTTTTTTTTTTTCTTTTTTTTTTTTTTGAGCCTGATGGAGCAGTGAAGAGGTGGAAAGCTGATTTAAATTCGCCTGACAGACCCAAGAGCAATTACCAGAGCCCATCAAGGCTTTTCTCAACTGAGCAAAGCACGAAGAGGGTATTTTGACAATGTGCCATAGGCAGACACGGCCCTGCTTTATGTTACTGTGTGAATAAATAGTGCCTGGCTGTGTCATGAGTTTATACAGAGATCTGAGGATCTGTTGAGGATCTGCCATCTAAGAGTTTCTTTTACTTCTCTGAACGGCATAACAAATTAAATGAAGTGTGCTCTCCGCAGCACACGGCTTTATTGTGCCATAATAGGAAATAGAGTAGGACAAAACAGTTAAAAACCTTGAAAAAAAACAACAGGCAAGATGGAAGCCATGCAGGGGACAAATCAGGGCTGAGCCAGAGCAGCCCCTTTTCATACTGGGGAGACATGCAGCTGCTTTCAGGTGCCAGAAGGATACCAGCTCTGGGCATTTTTAACACATCTAACATACAGAAGGTGGAAGTCCCACAGGTGATCTTTCCTTGCTGGAAAAAAAGTGTTTTCTCAAAAATTTACCCCAGAAAATGTCTGTTCCTCAGTCTCAAAGTCCAGTAGGACAGCAGGGTCTGGCCTCACCTCACATGGTGGCTATGTTGCCTCTGTTGCTATCATGAGGTCAGATGTGTCCCTCACGCAGCATCAGAGCACCTTCTGAGCATCTCCAGAACATCTGCTTCTTTTTCTTCTTAACTCTGATTGCCAGGATCAGATTTTCTTTGAGGAGTGCACATCAAAAGGAGGCCAGCCCAAGTCATTGCTAAACCAAATACTCTGGGTACAAAAATAATCTGCCTTCCACTTTTCTCTCTGTAAACCCATGGAAATGTTAAAACTGAAAAGAGGTTGTAGCAAGGTGGGGCTCGGTCTCTTCTCCCAGGTAAGCAAAAAGATGAGAGGAATTGGCCTCAAAATTGCTCCAGGGGAGCTTCATGTTGAATAGTAGGAAAAAGTTCTTCTCCAAAAGAGTGGTAATGCATTACAATGGGCTGCCCAGGCTGGTGCTGGAGTCACCAACCCTGCAGTGCTTCAGAACAATGGGGATGTGGCACTGAGGGACATGGTTAGTGGGCATGATAGGGACGGGTTGGGTTTGAACTAGATGATCTTAGAGATCTTTTCCAACCTGAATGATTCTAATTCTATAAGAGCCTGTGGATGCCCATGCAGTGACCTAATGCCACCGAGGCAGGAGGCAGAGGTGTGCTTGCAGAGCTGGGAGTCCAGCAGCACTTTTACATCCCAGTTCGGATGCTGGACTCACCTGCCAGCCTCTTCACAGCAGAAAGACCACCAACACTTCCTGCACATGGAGAATGTCTCATCTTGACAGGAGAAATAAAGCTGCTCTTCCTACAAATGTACAAATGTTAAATCACGCTCGCTTGCTAATGGTGCTGAAGTCTTGCCAGAAAACAAAAGAGAAACCTGGGCCAAGATAAATCAATGCTGACAAAGAGAATATTGCTTGCCAGCTTGAAACCAAGTGCCCTGAGCCAACGCATGCCATTTCTACTCTCCCAGCTGCTGCCAAATGACTTGCTTAAGATGTGGTGTTTCAGGTTGAGAATCCAAAATAATGTGTTTTTGACACTGTAATAGATTTATAGAGAATTCTTCCTGTGAAAGTGTGTAACCTGAATGCACTGTTGCAGAATTGCTTGGAGGTGTTTGGACTTTCTCCATGCTTTGGATACTAAGTGTGTTGTGACATGTCTTTATTTTGACTTAGATTTGCATTCTTTTCTTTCTATTTTTGTTTGCATTTCATTTCTATTTCTTTTGGGGGAAAAAAAGAAAAAAAAAAGTGTATTTGAAATGCACGTCCATTTCTAAACACTCTCTTCCTAATGAAAAACATTTTAATATTTTTTGCCAGTGCACAATCTTGAAATTGAAGGCAACTCATCCGCTCTGTCTCGAAGGGGAGGAGAGAAAGATTAAGAGTCATAAAGAAAAGTAGTAAAGACGTCATTCACTACAGCTGCTTTAAGCTCCCCTTTCCAGACTTCACTCTTCTTCCTTAATGTTATTTCATCTCAAGAGAAAAGGAGATACAACCTGTCTGGCTCCAGAAGACTCCTGGCTTCTGCATTTTTCTGCTCTCTCCTCAGCAAACCCTTACTCCTAGTGCAGTTGTGGGACACTGTAGCATCTCTCAGCTGCAGGTTCTCTTCCCCACCCTCCTGGCACCTGCCACAAGGTTTTTCTGTGCTGGTGTCCCCTGTTGCCACCTGTGAACATAACCCCACCAAAATATTGCCTCGCTTTGCAGACGGAAGAGGATTTCAGTGCATCCCTTGTAACACCTCAGGGCTGCCTTTTCCTGCCTTACATTGCCACAACAAGCTGGTGGGAAGGACCGGGGCTTTTCCTAGCTTTTCCTTTTTTCTTTTCATTTTCCTCCCATCAGCAGTACTGCCAGATCCCTTTTCCCTCCCTTATTCTTTCTGTCCAAATTGCCATGCTCCTGCTCTGGTGATGCCACATCTGGGTCTGCAGCACCCTCTTCCCTTGAAGGCTGAGCAGAGCCACGGCATTCCTCACTCCAGGAAGCAGCCTGAGGTTAACCTAAGTCTATTTTATTTTTAGCTGAGACTTTAACTGGCCGTGAATCCATGTCAGCAGGGAGCGAGGTCTCTTTAAAATCTGAGGGAAATCTTAAGGTGGAAGAGAAGCTGGTTGCTTGCATTTCCCTGTGCTTCTGCCTCTGGACAGGGCTTCAGTTCACTCACCAGAGGATTGCTGTGCACCTCTGAACACAAGGCAGCAAGCTTTGCTGGTAGGGCTTTATGGATATCAGTCTGGCTTCTGGTCTTATCATCACATACAAACATCATAACTCTTTTCATCAGGGGTTTGAACTCTTCTGCTTGTTGGTTTGTTTGCTTTGCAGAAGCATCCTACCAGCAAAAGCCACAAATATTTTAGTATAAACATGCTCGTATCATTACATTTAATTTCTCTCCCCAAATGGAAATGTTTTTCTATCACTATTAAATACTTACCGCTTTAAAGTTTACTAATTTAAAAGCATTAGAGATAAAGCAGTGCATTTACAAGTGGAAGGATGGAAATGGCTTCAGAGGAAATACAGTATTTCCTGTTATCATCATTTTCTGGTCATGCACACCATGCACTGAGGACATTCACCACCACTGCGACCATAAGGTCTCAGTCTTGGGCTTCTGTAGGCAAAAGCTGAGTGTCTTCTGTGACTTCTCTATTGATTTGAAAGATGAGTGGGATGAGTCTCGTACAGTATTTACTGGAGCATCTTTGCCCAGTGATACCCACACTTGCTGTGGTTATGCTATGGCCAGTGTAGGCTTCCCTTGCCCTACATCACTATCTGACGACATGTGAATCCTACCTTAAATGCACCTGTTTCTTCTGGCTGCCATATCAGGAATCCCTGAATGCCTGACTCAGATATTCCCATTGGAGACTGGGTCAGGTGAACCTCAGGGGAAACCAGCATCACGTTTCAGATAAACAAGGTCAGGCAGGTAGATACACAGACCTTGCCATCAGCGAGGCTGATGAGTATTAAAAGACTAGAAAGAGGGCAAGAAAACAAAAAGCTCATTTAATTAGCACGACAACCCCGATGGATATTAACACGGATCTGCAGAACTGGAGACCAAAGAATGTGATGTTTCAGATGACTCACACAGGAACATTGTGAGTCACCTATTTGTGGCTTTTCTTCAGCAGCAGCAGCAAACAGAAGTGATTAATCTGGTTTCTCACGACATAGCCTGTTTGCAAACTACACAGATGAGGCATAGAACACAGATAATTTAAATCAAATTAGGTAGAGGTTATAAACGTTGCTGATAACATAGTTGTTTTTTGTGATACGATAGTTGTTTTCTCAATGAGTTGTCTTCATATGTACATTCATCTGATCATTCACATTGTGTTGGGGAGGGTAAGCATTTTATTGCTTCTGGTGAAAGTTATGGAGAATAAGGTGGATAACTATCTTGAAAAATGAGGTCTTTGGCTTTCTGCTAAATTAATATTACTACTATTTAATTAGCAGTGACAAGTCCGAGGTTGGTGCACTTGCCCCAGCCTTCTTTACTTTTTGCTAATGAAAAATCAGTCTTTTAATAGAGCAGCTTCTAAAAACTCTGCTAAAGGTGTAATTACTGCATTGGCACCCTTAGCCTTTTCTTTCTGTACTTGGAGACGACACAATGCAGTGTTCCTTCTGTGTAGAGGCAGAGGTGGAACGACGAGATTTTGGCACAGAAGTTTAATGTCAGCTCAGAAACAATGGAAAGAAAAGCCACCCCAACTGACCAAATTTCTGTAATGATTGCTGTAAATAGTCTTCCACCCATCTGCCTTCTCTGAGCAATGCAGCTGAAGGGGATCCAAAAGCAAACAGTAACACAGTGCCAGGTCTCATGGCAGCCTGGGTCTGGTCCTGTGCAGAAGTGACATCTGCCCAGTTTCCTGGTGTTCAGCTCTGGCTGCTCGACAGGGTTGTGGTTTTCATCCTTGTTCTGGACCAGTCTCAGGCCATGGGCACTGCTGTGCACCTGGTAGTTCTCAGTTTCACAGCCCCTGCACGCAGGGGATGCAGGCTGGATAACAAGGGCTGCTGTAGATACATGTCACCTTAAGAATCGCAACTTCGTTTTAGCCACAAATGAGTACAATTTACTTTGCAGTAAATCTACCATATATATTTACTAGACAAAGGATATCTTAAAAAAAATAAAAAAGGCAAAAACCCATTTTAAGCTTGTTTTGCATCAGTAATGCACTAAAAACACCTTTTTCACTCCATATCCTGTTGGGTGATGTTTCTTCAACCAACTGGTAGCAAACTGTGATAGGAGCAGTGTTATGCACCTGCACCTTTTTACTTCAAATAACACTGCTACCACAGGACTCAGCCAGGAGGCCAATTTAGCATCCAATACAGATGATCAGTATTTTAAATTTACTTTCTATATCAATGTCAAAGGCAAAGCATTCTCCTCCCGATGTTGTAGTTGACAATCCCCTGCTCATCCCCCCCTCTGGTTACAAAAGCTGAGAGCTCAATGCTGGTCTGTAGGAAGGTTAGAGCAAGGTGCTGCATCCCTGCAGTCAGGTGGCTCTGCAGGATATCTGGTTTGTTTCCCTTCCACCTCCTCAGCACTTGAAAATAATAGTAAAAATAGTTCAAGAATTGGCCTTATCTTTATAAAGAGTTCACTTTGTTCAGACTTGGCAAGTAGGAGGCATATGGAGATCTCTGATGCTTAATTTTAAATCTGTAGAAATATCTGTGTTGGAAAAGGACTACAAGTCCAGCCACCAATCTCACCTCCAGAGTCCCATCAACAGTGCCACATTCACACACATCCCAAATGCCGCCAGGGATGGGGAAAAAGATAGATATGGGGCAATCAAATAAAATCAATACACCAGGGGAAGAATCCCCTTCGGGCAGATGATAGACCTTGGAAAAGGACACATAGAGCACTAATCCTA